CATTATCTTCGTTTACATTACAAATGCACTAAATAATTATATAATATATAGAGTTTATAGCGCATAGATATGACGATGATAATGATAATTTAAATTTTGGCTATGTTAAATTATAAATTTTGTTAATTAATTTGAGTTGAATCAGCGTATAAATTTGAACAGAATTAAAATAAAAAAAAATGGGCAGAATTATATTAAACAGCTAAGATTGCACAAATTTGGGCCGAATTAAGAATAAATTTGGGCTGGAGAGTGAATTAATCTTGGCTATGAATTTAGGCAAATCAGAGTATAAATTAGATTATAATAACAGAATAAAATACAATGCAATCTTTTTGATGTATTCAAAGTAAAAATTGGTCTTTTTTTGAATTGTTCTAAGTTTTATTAATATAATTCTTGTTTCAATTCTTCAAAAATAATAGAAATTGATTAGATGTTACAAAGCGGATGATTTTGTGATCATGTATTAATCATTAAAAACATGATTTTATATAACTTAATTTCTTTTTTACGTCAAAAATCTTGTATCCATAATTTTTCACATAAATATTTGAATTAAAGAATGTTGTCTTTAAAACTGATAAAATTTACTTATAAGCGCATATCGATATTGATATACATTTGTTTTTAATAAACTTTATCATTATACAATATATAATATATAATCTAAACAAGTTATTCGTATATATTAGGTGTAAAGTTCAGATGCATATCGATATGGTTATATGTATTAGGATTAAATGGTCGTAAAATTCGGATGCATATGTACGAACAGAATTGCACAAATTGACTTTTGTTCGTTTATGAGAACTCACAACAGAAGGAATAATTTTGGTTTCATGTATATTCAAATGAATAATTTTTAAGAAACCTATTATGTATTTCAAGTTCATATTCAACAATAAATAGAATGAAAATTTAGTGAATCAATTGTTATTAGTCAACTTTCTTTCTACTAAAAAATTATATTAATTAGGAGTTTACTAGTCATATATTGTTCATTCACTGTATTTAAATATTTGTTTTTAATAGTATGCTTACAAAGTTTTGGATCTTCTTCCATATGTTGGCACCTTTTTCTCATGTCTCAGAGCAGTATGGTTTGGTTACAAAGGGAATAGCAAAGAAGCTGCAATATCAGCTATGAATGCTTTTCAAGGGTCAGTTTGTGATGCTTTCTTGATAGCAGGTCTAAAAGAACCCCTTCAAATATCTGTAATCCATAAAATTGCAGATGAAGTGTCTGACATTATAATAAATAAGGCCTTTGAGTGGCTGCAAAAAAAAGGAAAACATAAACACTTTAGAGTCTCACATGGGAGAAATAGTGAATAAATATCCAATAGACCATAGAGCCACTCTAAATTTAAAATTCAATTGAATTTTTTTTTATAACAAACTAGTTTTTAAGCTAATATTGTAATTCCGAATATAAATTTGCACTAATTTATGAAAACATAAAAAGCCACTCTAATTTAAAGTTCAATTCAATTATCGTTATAGAAATTACATGATTTTCATATAGTTTACTTTATCGTTATCAATATAAATCAAGTCACCGTAATTAACCATATCAAAAAAAAACTGTTCTTATTGTAATTATGATAAAAATAATAAATAAACAAATTAAGTATAAAAGAATGAGTAAAAAGCAATATATAAAATTTATATTAATTACGATTAATAAAGTCATATGGAAATTTAGATCCAAGAGCTTGTCCATTAGTAATAACAATAAACATTGGGCATGAATTCGAAAATTAAACAATGGTATTCTATTGATTTTAACAATTATTTAAAGTTTCAAATCTTTTAATGTGTAATTATATTCATTATTGTAGCTTGCAGAACTCCATCATCATATACTTGGACATGAATAGTGTAGAACAAAATATAAAACGAGCTATAGATGCCGCAGAATATCTTTATAAATATAAAAAGTATGAGGACACTTGGAATATTTATTCAGAATTAGCCAAGACAGATAATATTAAATTAGATGTATTAAAACGAATAGCAAATTATTATAACAATGAATATGTCAAAAAGGATGAAAGACTTATCTTTGAAATTGCATTAAAATTATACAGTAAAAACAATATAAAGATGTATATAATATTTTTTTGAAACTTACCAACAGTAATGACAGTGAAATTAAATTAATTACTACATGTATTAAAGCATCTTATTATATTACAGGGTATAATGATGTTAGAAAAAATAAGAACAAGGCTATTGAACTTATTATAAAAGATATAACACAAAGTTGAACATTGTGGAATAATAAAAACACTTCTTTTCTCGTTTAGTCAAGAATTTTAGCAGTTATATTCATCTTTAATTATCCACATATTTCGGTATTTAACTTTTCTAATATAATCATTTTTTAAATTAGGATATCATTATGCATTACATAACTACACATAAAAAAGTACAGTCTTACCTCTTTATAATCACACAGTTGGAACCATAGTAATTTTTTTAAAAAAATGTGCTTATAAAGAGGTGTGATTATATAGAGATTATATATATATATTAAATAGTAATTGGCTCAAATAGGGGAGTGATTATAAAAAGGTTTTTATATGATGTGATTATATAGGAGGCAATTATAAAGAGGGAAGACTGTATTGAATATTCTATATATAACATGCTGAGGTATCCAATATACTGTGTAGATCAATTATATCAGGAGAGTCAATAGAAAAGAGACAAATCATTTTTAGTAAAGTTTTTTAATTTTTATATATTAAAATTTTCACCAACTATTTAATCAAATTTGCTAAAAAATTTTTTATTTTAATCTTGAAATTATATGATAAAATAGTTGTTAAAATATTTAAACCTAAAGTCAAGAAAACTTTTACTTAGAAAAAATTTGTTTTTTATATAGAATATGCTGTTATGATTGGAAGATTGGAAAGGGTATTAACTGAATTAGGCGACTGCCGTCAATAGAAATCAATCAGATTAACATTTTGAAAAATTAATCTCTTAATTTTTACAACTTATTCACAATGAATTTTGAAGTTATCTTTATAAACTAATATTCAAAAGAAAGTCCATATTCTAAGTTTTCTTTTGAATATTAATTTATAAAGATAGCCTCAAAATTTATTGTAACATAAGTTGTAAAAGTTAAGGGATTAATTTTTTTAAAATGTTAATCTGTTTGATAAAATGCTTTCCTTGGAAATTACATGAAAATTTCAATTACTTTGAAGAAAGTGGTTGAGCAATTTACAGTGTTCGGAGTTTAGAATTATATTTGGAACCGCTTTCTTTGGAAATTACGCAAAAAAATTCATATTAATTATATTTGATTGTTTGCAAGTTCAATTTACGAAGTTCGGATTTTGAATTTATTCATATTAGGGAAATACTTTTTTTTGGCAATCCCAATTTGAAATTGCAGCGAATAAGTTTAATTCATATTTGGGAAATGCCTTTTTTGGATATTCCCAATTTGAAAATTGTAGTGAACAAGTTTAATTCATATTTGGGAAATGCTTTCTTTGGAAATTACGATTTAATAAAAGTTAAATTCGGACTTAGAGTTGGGAAATGACTTTTGTGCTATGTCCATTAATAACAAAATGAATTATAAGCACTCTTAAAATTGAAATAATAACCATGACTTAAATAATTCATTTATTTATTATTCTATATATAAGGTTCTAAAAATCAAACATGCTAAAAAATTAATTTTTGCTATACATATCGAAGTTCTGATCCCATTTCAATCCCAATCACACATGCAAATCATGATATGGCTAGCGCATTAGAAATATTTTTACAGGTTGAGGTTAATATCAATAATAATAAGATGTAAAAGTCTTTCTATTCTTTGTTTTCGAATAATATGTTATAGTTATTGTATGGATATCCGTGTGTAATTAGTTACACCCAGATATTCATACAATAACTATAACTAATTATTTTATATTTGATTTATGTTTAAAACATTTTTCGAATGAACTTGAAAGTAATTGAAAAAATTCATAAGATAGCAGATTAAATAAATATAAATGAAGCAGAACCTTTTAAAGCAGAAGTACAAGAATATCTAATGAAAGTCATCAGTAAAACACCTTCAACTTCACTTTAAAAATAACTCATGTAAATCGTTTACTTAGTTACAATACTAAACGTATTAATAAAAGAAATTTATTAAATATCAATTAGAAATTTAATAATTAATTAAAAACATTTCGATTCAACTACCAGTATTAGTTTAAATAAAATAATTGAGGGTTTGATTCAATTCGAAGCCATTTTATTTTTAAACATCGAACTCATAAATTTAATTAATTATAAAAGAAAAAAGCAAGCTGATAATAATTCTACTAAATAGTGTTAATTTTTTAATTTATCATAGATATTTGTGCGGCAAATAAGAAAATACTACAAAATAATTTTTTTCTATACGACATCTGCCCATCTACGTATACAAAAAAAAATGAGCAGATCCTCGATTTTGATTGGCTTACGGCCGAGGATCTTCGAAATTTTGGCCCACATTAAATAATTGCTTACTAATTTCCGGCCGGAATTAACTTTTTAATTTTTTCTTTACAAAAATGGATAATTTTAAAAAATAAGTCCGCATTATGGTAAAATTGGCGATTTCATTAGTAAAATTATGAGTAATGATGGCCTAATTTTATAATCATCTCTCTTAGCCAATCAAAATCGAGAATCTGCTGTGACAATTTCGTTGCGACAGCTATGGTTAATTATTTAGATAGCAATTCTATAAAAAAAAAATTATTTGAAATCGCTTTTCGTAACCGTTTGTCAGTCCTAACAGTTTTTGTCTCGCGTTACGGTTAATTTGCATCTCTAATTCATTCATAATGATAGAAATTCCCTGTTTTTATTAATTTATGAATTCAAAAATTTACATAATGTTAGCAAGGAGAATTTAACCAAAGGTTTTTAATATTCCAATAAAAATAACAGTTAATACAGTAGCAAAAAAAACTTGTTTAATGTGCAGACATTTAAATTAAATAATGATAAAAATAAAAAGTAAAATTAAAATTTTAACAGATAACCAAGAACAGACTTTGAAAGTAATAATCAATTTTTAAAGTTTTCTTTATTGCTTCTTATAAATTGATTCTTATCTTAATTCATCTTACCAATGAACAAATCTTGTTAAAATTATAGTAGCAGATGGTCGTCTACTTGGGCCATAATGATAGTCTTCTATTTGAAAGAATTCAATGCGAAAAAGTAATATATATTCGAAATTTAATATTAAACAAGGTTTCGAAGAAAAGGCTATTTATTGTAAAACTTCAAATGGTCCGATATTTGGAAACGATTTGGAAATTCCGAGTGGCTCAAGTTATTGTTTTTTTAACGTTAACTCTAAAGGTTCACATTATGAAGGATTAACTAGGACAGACAAATACCTAATAGTAACTTACGAGGTTATCAAACAAAGATAATGTATAAGTTATATGTCGTACCTCATATTAGAGTCGCGTAAAATAAATAGGTATCTGATAATAAGATTTACCTGTTTAGTCCTAAAATCATTGACGCCTCTTTCGTAAACCTTATTTTCAGTTTTAACAAAACATTAGTAACAATTATTCTAAATAGTTTTTTTAAAACACCAGTAGAATTTTAAGATTTAGTTTACAATAAAAATGGAATCTGAAAATTTTGTTATATTTATTTTCTTCAATACTTAAACTATAATTAAATTTAAGTTTAAAGGTCATAAATATTATTTATTACCTGGGGGAATTATAGCAAAGGTTGCCACAATAAATTCTCCCAGAAAATAAATGGATGGATATATATTCTTATTATTCGTGAGAAATTCAAAAACTCTACTAAATCATATGAATCCCACATCCCACACAGGTTTTTTAAAAAACCACGATTTGTCCATCACTAGTACTAACCCACTCCTTTTCTAAATCATTAAAATTTTTTTATAATGAAAAAATAAATTATCATCTGGAGCTTCAATAAGTGAAGATGAAAATTCTCCAACAGTACCATTTTAATGAAGTTAATTTATATATTGTAACAAGATTCCAATGATTATTGCATCATCGTCATTTCCCTTACAGATTGGCTAATAGTAAGGTTTTAGTGATTGAGGTGCATTTCTCTTAATATAGAGAGAATAAACAGCCCACGTTGTATTGCTTGCGTAAATATGAATGTCTTCTATCTTCTTAGTTAAGGTGAGTTAAAGCAACATTGTCATGACACGTTTCTTTTTTAATATAAACAATTCTTCAGAATTAGGGGTTATTATTGATTTTATGGCTGTATAGCTATTATCATAATTCCTGAAACACCTAATAAAAATAATTTAATAGATATCCAAAATTATTACTTTTATCAAAAATATTAGGTACTCTTAAAAAAGAATAAAAGCAATTAATGACTTATTAAGAAAACTGAAAAAACAAAAAATATATAAATATAATTGAAAAAGGATAAATATAGTTT